ATTGCAAGCAGGCAAGTAAATAAGTATTTGTTGCAAATGGGGGATATGATGACACCCTTATTCATAAAAAAATTATAACAAGATGCAGCCATTGCCATTAGTGAGAAGAGCGAAAATCTGTTATTTTTTTAATCAATTTTTCCTATTTATTTTATTTTCATAACCATTACAGAATAAATTCCTCTTGACTTTTTCCACATTTTGTTAGGTTACAGCCTTATTCTAAAATGGATTAAATAAAACAATTTCCTCAGCAATCTACACACAATACCCCATAATGACAAAGCGAAAAAAAGTTTGCAAATGTATCCCCCCCAAAAAAACAGAAATATCTTATTTACATAAGTATTCAGACCCTTTGATATGAGACTCGGAATTGAGCTCAGGTGCATCCTGTTTCTATTGATCATCCTTGAGATGCTTTTACAACTTGATTGGAGTCCACCTGTGGTAAATTCAATTGATTGGACATGATTTGGAAAGGCACACACCTGTCTATATAAGGTCCCACAGTTGACAGTGCATGTCAGAGCAAAAATCAAGACATGAGGTTGGAATTGTCCGTAGAGCGCCGGGACAGGATTGTGTCGAGGCACGGATCTGGGAAAGGGTATCAAAATATTTCTGCAGCATTGAAGTTCCCTAAGATCACAGTGGCCTCCATCATTCTTAAATGGAAGATGTTTGGAACCACCAAGACTCTTCCTAGAGCTGGCCGCCAAGCCAAACTGAGCAATTGGGGGAGAAGGGCCTTGGTCAGGGAGGTGACCAAGAACCCGATGGTAACTCTGACAGAGCTCTAGAGTTCTTTTGTGGAGATCGGAGAACCTTCCAGATGGACATCCATCTCTGTAGCACTCCACCAATCAGGCCTTTACGGTAGACTGGCCAGACGGAAGCCACTCCTCAGTAAAAGGCACATGACAGCCCGTTTGGAGTTTGCCAAAAGGCACCTAAAGACTCTCAGATCATGAGAAACAAGATTATCTGGTCTGATGAAACCAAGATTGAACTCTTTGGCCTGAATGCCAAGTGTCACCTCTGGAGGAAACCTGGCACCATCCCTACGGTGAAGCATGGTGGTGTCAGCATCATGCTGTAGGGATGTTTTTCAGCAGCAGGGACTGGGAGACTAGTCAGGATCGAGGGAAAGGTGAACGGAGCAAAGTACAGAGAGATCCTTGATGAAATCCTGCTCAGAGCACTGTGCAGCAACGCTCCCCATCCAACCTGACAGAGAAGAATGGGAGGAAATCCCCAAATATAGGTGTGCCAAGCTTGTAGCATCATACCCAAGACGACTCAAGGCTGTAATCGCTGCCAAAGGTGCTTCAACAAAGTATTGAGTAAAGGGTCTGAATACTGTGATATTTCAGTTTTTTATTTTTAATAAATTAGCCAACATTTATTTAAAAAACAGTCGGGTATTGTGTGTAGATTGATGAGGGGGGAAAAAACGATTTAATCAATTACATAATGAGGCTGTAACCTAACAAAATGTGGAAAAAGTCAAGGGGTCTGAATAGTTTCCTAAGACACTGTATATGTACTGTACATATCTAGCTCAATTACCTAGGACCCCTGCACATCGACTCGGTACTGGTACCCCGTGTATATAGTAATGTTAGCATTACTCATTGTGTATTTATTCCTTGTGTTATTATCTTTTTATTATTTTTCTATTTTCCTCTCTGCATTGTTGGGAAGGGCCCATAAGTAAGCATTTCACTCTTAGCCTACACCTGTTATTTACGAAGCATGTGACAAATACAATTTGATTTGATTTGAAATTATACAGCAATTTAAGGGTGTTATTGTCACTATAAAAGGTGAATGGAGGGAGTTTTCCAGGCGGAGTTATAATGTTCGTTAATAGCCGCACATTTTTGCACAAAAAAATGATGCTCCTAATAGTAGATTTTAACAGTAAACATGTATCACCTATTTGATGTGGCATGAACAAATCACTTACAAAAGTAAGCTACCTGCACACATTCATCCACTCTAAAATAATTCCAGCATCCAAACAGTGCACTGTGCACCTGCCAGGCCACCATTTGATGACGGGAAAGAGACATCTGCTACAAAACACCAAAAAGTGTAAAGACGTTCGGTGATTGTCATTAGGGCTACACTCTTGTAGCCTGAATTAATTGATGCGTCTTGCTGACAAATTGATTTTGTTTTTTTATCGGGACACCTGAAAAGGGGCTGAAATACAGGACGCAAATATAGCCGAGCTCATCAGCACAGGCAACTGTGAGGGCCCAGTTGAAACAATGTTGCAAGTTCGCTCGTGGGGTGGACCCCCCCTGGCCCCCATGCACATGTATGGCATGCGCCAAGTTTATTGATCTCAATATTTTTTGACGTAGGCCCTACATATTCAGAAATGATGCACCAGATATTTTTTGTGAAATTTACGCAATGGTTATAAATGAGGCCCCTGTGCCTCTCCATCTTGTGTGAGAACATACGCAGGGAGCATTACTCTCCTGTGGCCGAGAGACAGAGGCATTTATATTGCTAATAAACTTGCCAGCTTGTTAGGCTGTTGTGTAACAAACTCACTGCCTGGATGCAGTCAGGCATTACTAATACACTGTCTCTCTCAATGACAATCATGCCCATAATTGTTGCCAGTAAATTCTCAGACTCGGACTGGTGCACACAGCATGTTGGTTATGTTCCCGCTATACTGCTACAGGCCACCAGATGGCCCTGTTCTAGAGGAAGTGGGTATTTTTCTCAATTTGGTCTACTCTAAATGGCTGTTTAAAACTCTCTGTGCCTCCCGCCCTCGGGTTGCCTATAACAGTGGAAATTAACCTGAGGTTATAGACAAGGGGGCCATAAAAGAGATGACATCAGTGCCTCGGCAGCTTCCAGATTGCTGTAATGGCCGAGCCTCTCTCTCTCTCCATCCCCCGTTAGCTTCTGGGGCCGCACCACATTACGTAGTGCCTAACAAAGCCTTCATGTTAATGTCTTTGTCATATAAACACACTTTGTGTTCAGGGGGTGAGGTAGTTGGTGATTGATGTCATTTCAAGTGTGCCTGACGTGTGGTGTAGGGTTTGTGTGTCTGGGTGTAGGAGGACTTTTGTGCTCTTTTGGTCACCTTTTCTTCCCTTCTCTCACAACAATGTATTATCTGGGCCCAGTTTCTTGACTCAGTGTTTAGATAAAGTTGACTTACAATGACTGGTGAATGGATGGAACCCCTCTACAGTGGCCAATAGTTGTACATTACTGAGGAATGGTATGGATGACCGAAAAGGACTGCTTACATAACATTCAGGTGTCATTAAGTAACAACCATCTAAGCTGCATTGTGTTAACAAGCATACGACAACAGTGTGATTGTTGTGCTCTTTCCAAACAAAACAGGGATTTAAATTATATTAATTTTAAATTCAGAAGGAGGGACAAAATAGTGGCAAAGGAGCAAAAACAAAAACAGACTTCTTATAAAAAGTGTTTTGACTGTAAATAAGACTGGGATGAATGGCCAAAGACATCCTTTAGATAAGTTAAACCTCAAGCGGCCTTGTGTAAAGCAGATATTTATGTAAAATATTCAGCAGCGGGCACAGTGTGTTCGGTATGCAGCCTAACCATAACCAAGGGGGAAGTGCCCTGCACCCGCTCTGCTCTACCTCCTATTAAATACACACTATTAAAAGTAATTTCCGCCAGCCTTGCAGGAAAGTAAAGTTCTGCATAGGTGCCCTGCGGTGGCGGTCTCGGTTAGATGGCTTTTCTGTGCCCTGTTTTGATATGATGTGCTTTCTGTGGGTGTGAGCGGGCACTTAGTGTTTGTGTATTTTTAGGACTGCCTGCCTGACTTAAAGTGAACATGTTACTCCTCTGAATCCAAAATATTTTCTAACATCTGCCACCCATCAGGATGTCTGTCTGCTTTCTGAGCCTCCGCTGCATTCCTGAGCTGTTCCCTTCCCTCTACCTGGATCAAACCCTTAGCTCTGTGTGTGTGTGTGCGTGTGTGTTTGTGCACATGTCTGTATGTGTGTGCGCTTGCACATGTGTTTATGTGTGTTCTCTCACACACTCTTACGGCCTGAGAAGTTGCCCCTAAGCACTGGTCTGCTTACCCCGATTCAAACCGTAGGTATTTGGTGACATCTGCATACATCCACCCTCTCAGCAGCTGCAGAAGACAAACTACTTTGAGGATTCTACTGCTACCTGTCCTACTCCTGCTAATATTAGCCTACACAGGTTGCAACCTGATGTCTGCTTTCCTAAGGCTGGGAAGCTGTATCCCACCTGGCTTTTTCAGACTATTTACAGCAAGTTAGCAACCCCTTGCAGCTAGCCTGGTGCAGAGGGCCAAAGTTTCTATCCAACCACTACAAATTAGGTATATATTTAGTGTTGTGTATATCTGTTATTGTCATTAAGATTAAGAGTGTATTCTAAGAGGGTACATTATTTATTGTATAGTATACTATATGTAAAATACATTCATAGTCACATAGTCTCCTTTGCATTTCTACTTCTAATCGAAGGTCATCAGTACTACTGACACTTAAGATTCTTGGCATAGCTCCGTGCTCATTGCTATGCTGGGATTTACTTTTTTTGTTCGAATTAGTCAAGTGCGTGGTTTAGCCTGATCTAGTGAATGCAAGCTACCTTGGCTTACAGAGCTCTACAATGACATTCCAATGCACAAAACCCAGAAACAGTCTGCAGAACTCTGTTATATAAGAACCGATCAGCCCAGAACGATCGCTCTGTTGGAGTCACTATATATATGAGACTGTCCATGGTATCTACTACTGGAGTTCCACCATTGTAAATGGTGACTTTGTTTGACCTCCCTCTCTCTGTATTATACGATCCTACATGTATGTACTTTATGTGCTGTTGTTTATTAATCCCAGTGAAGATGTTCAGCTCAGTAACCTGATAGTTGTTGGTCACCCATCTTCAGTTTGATCAAAGAAGGAAACAAAGATGGTGTTTACATTTCATAAATAAATCTGTTTTATTTTTTAACATATAAAATTAAATCATTTGTACAATTTATTCCAGTATGACACATAATATCCAAATAAAGTAACTACATTTTTTGATAAATAATATTAATAACAATAATAAAAAACATTCATTCATTTATTTGACGTTTCACTTTGTCTTTCTTGATAACGTTGGGAAGTTCGATAGCTGCCACAAAACATGAACATATATGCCCACGTCAGGAAGGAATGGAACCACAGTAACATGGTGTCTTGGTTCCTTGGGTTACAGGATCATGGTATACTAAATTAAGTTACGTATGTGCATATCCACACAACATCTATATACACACAAGTCAAAGGTTTTTTGGGGTCATGCCTAGTTGGTATGTCTCGGTCGAAAATATACACAGCGAATTGATTTCAACATACAAACATTGTCATTTACACATGTTAATTTACATTTTGCTCCATAACGAAGCTACTATGATGCTCCAGTAGTATGAAGCTAATCTTAATTGAGAATGCTGATTCAGTCACAGCAGACAGTGCACTTCATAAAGTCCTCATGATGTAAGCCCATAATTCCTTGGGAATCTAGTTACAACAGGAAGTTGATAGTTCATTGGCCGGTTAAGTTGGACCCGTGCGTTTAGATGGACTGCCATTGGTCTGTCAATGTTGTTGTTTTGGGATCTCTCAGGGGTCGGTTCTGAGCCCAATCAGATTTGATTTAGTCTCTGAACTTGTGGATGTCGTTGAAGAGTCTGTAGAAGGGGTAGGAGGCTTCGTTGGCATTAGAACAGTTGAAGGTGCACTTGCAGGACTCGATCATCATGACGTTCTTGTTGAAGGTCTCTCCATCCTCGCAGCGGAACTTGATCCGGATGGTGCGGGTCTGCTGGGGGCTGCAGCAGCGGCCGTCCACACAGGATCCACAGTACTTGGATCTGTACTTCTTCAGGCTGGAGCAGCCGGCATAGGTGAACTTCTGAGCTTGGGTAGACTTCTTGGTTCTGCTGCACTTCTTTCCCTTCTGTTAGGGGGAACAATGGGAGAGAAACAGTCAGTCAAGAGGTTCCATAAACAGGCTGAGTTGGTTTTGTTGAATAATATGCCATGTTTCAGTATAGTATAGTCTTGGTGGCTTGAGCTTACCTTAAGACTGGAGTAAGGAGACTGGGTGCATGGTCGCACTTCACAGATGCGAGTCTCTTTGACCAGCTTGCACTCATTGTTGTTGTTGGTGACTCTGGTGGAGATTCCTGTGCCACAGGTCTTGGAGCACTGGGACCAAGTAGTGGTCTGGACAATACATTTCTGGCTTTCAAACATGTGGCTCTCAGGCTGGACTCTGAAAGCTGTAAGGAGAAAGGTCAAACAAACATTAGAAACTGTTCAGGTATGGGCTTCAACATTTGAGGCAATGTAAAATGTCATTGTTGAATGTTGAAATAAAAAATGGCTGCTGCTAGAAAGAGGCTGCTTACCAGGTAGAGACTTGAGTCCTCCCTTGACGAAGGCGATGAGCTCGTTCCTGTTGGTGAGGTCGCTCTCTGACTCGTCAGTCATGCTGTCTTTGCCAAACAGCTTCCCAATGATGTCAGTGTCCTTGCCGTCGTCACACACCCACTCCTCACAGCACTGGCCTGCCACCTTGACCAGCCTTGGGTTGGCACAACCCAGGTTGGGCAGGGAGAGCTCCTGAGGGCACAGGGGGACGCAGCCCACAGCCCCATCGATGCATGTGCACTGGTGCTTGCAGTTAGGCTGGAAGCTCTCTCCGTTCTGGTAAATCCTGCTGTTGTATTCACAGGGTCTGCCCTCTGACTTAGCTGTGGAGGAGAAGAGAGGGGAAATGGCTGTTATTCCGCTGTTCAGAAGGCTAGTGTCTGCTATAGACATCACAGATCACATGCTGGCTGATGCTGGTTGAGGGAGGCTTGGTTTAAACTGTAAAAATTCCTCAGAAGGTTCTTGGCTAGGGCTGCCTAAGGAGAGGAGCCACTGAGGGGGGGATCACTTTCTACCAGAGCAGGATGTTTGTACTTCTGAGTTTAGACTGAGGTGCTGAGTTACATTCCTTAGAGTTGAAATCACATGGTCCTCTTTTTCTCTCACTAGTTCATCTTAACTCAACCATATTGCTTTAACAAGGTTACAAACTTTCAAACAAACATTATTCAGACCTAAAATCAGTTTACAGCATAGTAGGATTGGAATGAGACACCTACCACGGCAGATGCCACGCATAGCTCCGAAGCTGGCCCCAAAATTGCACTCCAGCCCTTTGGTGTGGTCGCAAGGCTCGGTCCGACTGCAGTCCTCGTTGAGTTGTCTCGCGCAGACCTTGCAGCACCCGCAGCCATCCACTACGAGGCTCACACCAGGCGCGCACCTGGGAAGCTCTGTCGGGCACTCGCATACCGAGGGGCAGGAGGAGGAGGAGGAGGAGGAGGAGGAAAGAACCTGTGTGGATAACCGAGCACGTTAATGATATATACTCTTTGTAACCAACATCTTAAAAGAGCCACATGTTTAGGTTATATTTACATAGCTTCTTTAGTCCGTTGTTCAAACAATGCGGTTATGATTTAGTAAGAGGCAAGAGGTTTACAAACCAGTGTTCTACGATGTTGTATTTCCCAGACAATAAAGTATCAATTCAGTATAAGATCTAATTATTTAAAACTATAGACAAGAAACTTTAAACTGAAATATTTGATAGAAAAATTACTTACCACGTTGAAGGTTCCAATAAACATCACGATGATTGAGCAAATGAACATATTTGCCTTTTTCTCTTGTTCGTATTCAAGAAGAAGAAGATGTGTTTTCTTTTGCAATTCCCGTTTCGATATATTGCTTTAAGTCTTAGCAAGTGTCTTTTTATCCTAAGTGTAGCAGTCACTCGTCCCGTCTGTAGCGGTTTGGTTTTTATTTTCTAGTATCTTTAGTTAGAGGCTTATGAGTTGCTCTAGCTCTGGTTGCAAGTTGCAGTCTGCTGAAGCTAAGTACCTCCCGTCCTTTATACTGTAGTGAAAGCTGACGTCGTTGTTGGCTGACTGCTGAACTGTTCCAAAACTATGCCAGGAATGTTTCTTGGCGCGTTTTCCATCCAAGCTAAGCACCACCCTGTCTAACTTTTTTTTCTGAATTTAATTTTCCCCTAGAACTGAACATATTTTCCCCTCGTTGTTTCCCTTCTATACTATCCTCCTTTCTTTCTTCCTTTTTTATTTACTTTATTGGTTTTCTCACAGCTTTTATGTTATGGGCGGTAGGGTTAGGGTACACATGAAACTTTTTTTTAAAGCAGTTTGGTTTGTTTGTTTCCATTCGTTTGACTGCTATATTATACAAAATATAATAATGATAATGTAACATTGTTGTTTTCATTTATTTTTCTTCCTTTTGATGTATGTGTTTTATTACATGTTATAGATTGTTTATATTTTTATATTTTAATTATTTTACAACCTCTTTTGCAGTCATTTGTGCAACAGTTGCCAAGGTTATTGAAATATATTGTAATGCAGTTAGTGCTTCACCTCATACGTTTATGATGAGAATAATTATGTCAGTCCATGTATCAATAGGCTACATTATTCCCGCTATGCTAAATTAAGGCTACTGTAACTGGACACAGTTTAGGAGAGAGAAGTCTCAGAGTTTCTTTGCGCGTCTGAGAGTGGGATAAATAAAGTTTATGGCTTCTATTTTTGGCCCGCTCTCCCCTTTATCCCGTAGAACTAAACTATTCCAGATGCGAACCAGACTTCAGACGTAACAATATTGCCATATTTGGTATGGCAGAAGCCTACATTATTAACATATTTCTCCCCTCCTCTAGCCAACCACAAAGCATTCCTGACAGTTTAAAGGGTTTTTAAAGTTCTTCATACAGGAAATTCCTTAGCATTCCTCCTTGGGTTAATTTACTTTTCACACAATCTGTCCATCACGTTTTGAAAACATAATCTACTACAGTGATCCAATTTTCCACATACGATGTTAGTTTGGGGAGAAAATACACAACTGGTTTCTAGTCCTACTATTCTTCGGGTCTCAAATAACTTACATTTCATAGAATTTTGAAATTCAGAGATTAGAAGTAAATGCAAACCGATTTGACCAAGAAAGCAAACATTATAGAATGCTTGAAAAATTGGGATATTTCCTGCCAAAATAATGTTAATAGACTGTTTACCGAAGGACGATATGACAATCCCCTATTTGTAATAACCATAACTATTAAACCCAAGAACGGAAATATTTTTTGAGTAACTTTATACGTTAGACTTCTGAGAGCGCTGAACAAATAACTAACGGAGAATGGTTGTCAAGACCACGGAAAAATCTCCCTCCGGTGAGTTTGTCTGTTTTACTATACCTTTACTAATCTGTTTGTTTTAAAATGTTTTGTATACACTCTTGCTTTATCACTTTGTTCATAGTGTGTAAATATATTGAAGTATCTTAATTGATCCGTCATCCGTTGTCACCTTTCCATCTGATTCGACCGCTTGACAATCATTATTTGGGTACCGATTGATATTTAATATTCTGCATCTTGATGCGCGCTTGCTTTATTTTTCTTTGCATTTGTCCACATTTTCATAATTCCAGTTTTAGACACTAGATGGTGTAATGCTTTGGTTAACTTGCTTGACATTCCCACTGGGCATAGATGTCAATTCAACGTCTATTCCACGTTGGTTCAACGTAATTTCATTGAAATGAAGTGGAAACAACGTTTATTCAACCAGTGTGTGCCGAGTGGGTTGTCAACATTTTCCTCACTGTTGTGACCTCATTGTTTGAGTCATTTTGAGGTAGCTGAGGGCTATATAGTTTGTCATTCATCTGAACGCTTGTTAAACCAGACAGACAACTTTAAAGCTCATGAAATGACACTGGCATTATATTACAGCTTGACAGTTGGCATCAACAAATGTCTGTCTGTTTTGAGTGTCAGATTCCCCAAGGGGCACTGCCATGTGCCCATATGTTTTTTGTTTATTTTGGTTGTTGGTGTGTGTGTGTGTGTATATTGTATCTAGCCCCAAGTAATACTTATGTCATCCAAGTGATGGTGATGATGATGCTTGTTTCCCAAACATAAATGGACCTTTAATGTCAATTGTAGCCCATGCTATCCTGCCATTCCAATATCCATTATGACCTCATCAGTAAGTCCCTCTGTGGTGAGTTTGACCCCATGAGCTCAATGAGATGCTTTTCTGATTATGATTGTTCTGCTCTGTCAGCATATTGTTCTGATTCTTTCCTCTTTCCCTTACAATGACACTGTGTATATTATAGGAAACAGTGCTCTATGCCATGGAACCATGGAATAACATCCCACAATGATATTCATCTTGTAATTACCCATTCAGGAAACATTGCTAGGGCAACCAGGGCTAGACATGTGTATCCATGTAGTAATGGCAATCATGATATTTTCCAGCCCCCTCTTCCCCGCCCCCCTTATGAACCATCCCAGTCTATTGTCCTAGAGAGACTAGTGTAAAACAGGCCCCGGTATGATAGACTGTATATTGTAAGCCTGTTCAAACAAAGGATAACATGCAGTGGGTGTTGAAGCTTCCTCTCTATGTCAGCTCATGGAACTCTGGGACGGAAGCTCAGTGAGTCATGGGGTTGTTCTTATGTACACACACTGTGCTTAGTCACAAGACAACCCTCTTCCATAGTAATCTTTCTATTCCTGGAAATGATATGTCCTTTGTTTTACCTACAGCCCTAACAGATGTTTGTTATGAAGTCAGCGTGTTGTTATTGTGTGTCCTTGCCTGCCAAAGGAATGACAGTCAGTGCATCTGAAGTAGGTGGATGGTGGAAGCGCTCTCTACTGTAGCCCAATCCATTATAGAATGGAGAATGTCAGCCATTTTAGTATTCTCCTGCACACTTATGCAGTCTTTCTCCTAGATTATGTTTTTACAGGCAGGGCACAAAGGTACCCCAAAACAACAGTCAGGCCATCTTGCACAAAAGCTGTCCATTTTAGACAGGGGGCAAGAGTTATGGGCGGGCGATTGCCCCTGTGCCCCATCTACACAATGGTAGGATAAACACTGCGCTACTGTACTACTGTTGTGTCAGAGCAATGGATAATTTACATTAGATTCAGTCGAAAGACTTGCCACCTTTGCCAGTACCTTAAGGTTATTTGCCACTCAAAACTATATATTATCCCTGTGTTAGCAGGACTTGTTATTGATCTAGAGAGAGTAAAGGTTGGCATTGTTATTGAGGTTTAAATAAACCGCAGACCTGGTGTATGGGTTGTCTCTGCTTTCACACATTTTTATGGTAGGTCCCAGAGGCTGCGTCCCAAATGGTACCCGGTTCCCTTTATACCGTACTACTTTGACCAGGGCCCATAGGGAAAAGGTGCCATTTGGGATTCACACAGATTCTCAGAATGTACCAGGTGTGTCTACGAGGGGTTTCCTTCAGTTTAACCCAAGCACTATAGCACGGGAGAGAGATATATTTTTCTAGGGCAGAATGTACCAGACAGAGTCAGACATACACAATGTGGAATGGAGAAAAAAACTGGAGGGCTGGGGGTTCGGACAGAGTAGGTAGTCCATCCAGGAGTGGAAAATGGAATGCGGGACTCCTGGAATGTTTGGACCAGTCAGGATAATTGAGTGTATCTGGAACAAGAAAATACAAACTTTGGTCCAGGGGTGTGGAAGAATGTGCTTTAGGAAGTCTGGAGAAACATTCAATTCAAAGCCGAGCCCAGAGGCTTCCTTAGATGGCACCACAGAGAGTAGGAATAGGAATACCTTCCCTGCTTGCTCTGCACACTGAGCACAGGGCAGGATAAATACAAGACACTCCTTCATTCAATGGCCATAACAAGCTGAAGAACTCTCGACTCTCCTTTCCCATGGGTCTCTTATGACTATTACATTAAGAAGACAAATATTAGAGAATTGAAATATGTGCTTTGTCCATATTTCAGTGTTGATGTGAAATCTGTTATTCCCATATACTGTGACAATAATATGCTGGTTTATGTTGACATTAGAAATTATTCTGAAATATGTGTTTTGTTCACTGTGAATATCTGTTATTCCCATTATTGCCATACACTTTGATATGCTGGGGGCTGCTGTAGTCTCAACACCATTGGGCAGGTGTATAGGAAAGTGAATGGCTCAGAATGGCCGCTGCACCTCCTTGTCCTTGGACTGTGTCAAAGAAGCGCCCTTTGTTCTGAGCTGGGGTCAGGGGAGAATGGGTTATTGTCACCCAGGGGTAGGAAATTATAATGCTAAATGACGTAAATGTAAATGTAAATGAAATTATGTCAATGGTAGAGAGCACCGAGCAGCCACTTTCTTTTTTTGTTTTGGCATTGACATCTGCTAAACTGGCAGGTATTGCAATAATAAGCCAGAGATGACAGTGACCAGCATCTTCAACTTTTCAAAATACACTATGTTTATGAATGTACACATTCATAAATAATTGGTATTTGAATGAAAAGACTGTGAAAAACCCTAGTGGTTATAGATATTAATAACGGTTTGATTACTAATTGTACTCTAGCCTTGATTGACATTATTTTATGTCTAGACATTGTGGTGATTTTGTAAGCCATTTGTTCCTCGTTGATAAAACGTTGTTACCAAGTAATAGATAGTTGTTACAAAGTAACAGAGCGCCAGCCAGCGCGTCTGTGCTCGCGCTGTTTAAGAGCCACACTGTCACTTTTCGGGCATTGCTGTGCGCTTCACTGGAAATTGATACTGTAGCAGC